AGGCTGGCCTCGAACTCACAGAGATCTGCCTGGCTCTGCCTCCCAAGTGCTGGGATTAAAGGCATGCACCACCACTGCCCAGCCCAACAAGCTCCTTTTAAAACACAAAGAAGACAAGACTGGGGCGGGGTGCAAATGCCCCAATGGGTCAATCAGCTACACCTAGTCTACAGTATTGACAGTGTTGTCTAGGAGGGAATCATGAACTGACATCATCTTTCTTGACCTGAAGCTCCAATCATTTTTTTTTTCCTTTGTAAACAACTTGGGTGCCACCCTCGACACTCTCCCTGGGGGCCAGCTTTACTAGCAGCTGGCTCTATAGGCCCTCCCCCTCCCCACACACAGAAAGCAAAGGGAGATGTCTGAATTAGAGAAAGCTGCCTTCAGGGGGGTGGGAGGAGGGAGGACAGGGGAATCCGTGGCTGATATGTAAAATTAAATTAATTATAAAATAAAAATATTTAGTAAAAAAAAAAAAGAAAGAAAAAAAGCTGCCTTCCAGAGCTAGGCCTGCTCGGTTCTTCCAGATCTCAGTGTAAGATGAGTTATTTCAGCTCTGCCATTCCTGTTAGTCACCACTGGCCAAGGCAAAATGAGGTCCACATCCAGTACTGCTCAGCTGACATCGCCAGCCGCCGCTCCTCAGAAGGACAGGACTGTCACATGGAGCAGCAGTTCACAGACAACATCAGTGACAGCGGTACATCCCCCTTGAGTTAGAAGACAAGCCAATGACGTTCCTTGTCTCCAGAAGAACCTCTCCCAGGACTCCAGTCTCTCAGGAGCGTGTGGGAGAGAGCCAGTGACTTAGCATTCACTTACTACACCCCACCCCTTCCCTCACAGTTTCTGCAGCCAGCAGTTGCAACCTCCTTAATAGTCTGCATCTCTCTCTTTTCCGGTCTCCCTTTACTTCCCTAGTTTGGGACCCTCCTTTTCTCACTTGAATTATGTACTGCAATAGACAAGTAAAGGTCCCTTTGCCCCTAGACTCATCACCATCTCTGTTACAGCATGCTTTTTAAAAGAATCCAAATCTGATCATGTTATTTGTTTGTTAAAAATATTTGGCTGTTCTCCAAAGCTTCGAGGCTGAAATTCAGAGTCTTTCTTTAGCTTGGCAAAGTGAAAATGTCAGCAGACTTTGTACAAATCTCTTTCTAGAACGGCGTAGAAGGCTCCAGACCACAAGTAACTGCTTTCTTTACTATCCTCTTGTGGAAGTAGAAGACCTTCTTGGACACAAGCTATGTGGCTAGACATAAGGATCAGATCCTCTAAGGCCAAAGCTTGGGTTAGAAGCTTCCATCTGGGTCAGGTTGTATGATGAGCTGAAGATTTGTCCTCCAAAATTCATATATGTTCACATTGTGATGCCCAATGTGATAGAATTAAGAGGAGAGGGCTCTTTAAGAAGTAAATAGGTGTTAGATCACGGTGTAGAGACCTTGAGAGTGAGGTCAAGGCTTTTATTAAGGGGTCACAGGGAGCCTTCTAGCTTTCCTCCCATGTGAGATTATACTGAGAAGTGAGAAGAGTGCCTTCCACCCATGTAGACATCCATTCTTGAAACTTCAGCCTCATGGAACTGTGAAAAATAAAGTTGTGGTTCATAATCCAAACAGTGTATTCTGTTCAACAGCCAGGCCACAGTGAAGTTCCTAATAAAATATTGAATTTCCAGTTAACCTTGAGTTTCAGAGTAACAATAACTAACTCCTGAGATTGTGTTTCATGTAGCATTTATGGGTATGAAGTCCAACTTTTACTAGGTATCCTGTATCTTTTTATCTGCCAAATATGACAACCTTATACCAGTGTGGGGTGGAAGGTGAGGCTGAGGACAATGCCCAAGAGTGTCAGGAGGAGAAATCTGAGCTCCAGCACAAGGACTGTTGGTTAAATATGACAGATGACACAGGTCCACTCAGCTCCACCCAGAAAAATCTCCAGAATAAAAGGGAAATAACAACAATGACAAAAATATGACATGAAGAAAAGGGGACTCATGCCTGACAGTAGATAACAGATTTCAAAAGAGTTTGGACCATGGAATGTAACATATAAATGGGAACTGATCGCATAGTGGGAGGGGGTGGGGGTGTTGACCAGAGGAGACACCGATTAAGCAGCAAACCTCTGGAAAGGCAGCCTGGCATGTGGCACTTCCAGGTCAGAGGGCGCGATAAAGGGCTGTCTAAGAGGTGGTGAGCACACAGGGATCTGCTGTGTCTCATGGCACAGATTAACAGTGGATCTTCCCACTGAAAGGATCCAGATTAAAGGTTGATGTTCCCACCTCAAAGATCCAGATTAGAAGTGGGTCTTCCCACTTCAAAGGATTTAATCAAGAAAAATAAATAAATAAATAAAAAATCCTCATAGGTGTGCTCAGCCATTGGGTTTTAATGAATTCCTTATGTCCTCAAGCTGACAACAAACACACAGGGAAAAACGAGAAATGAAAAATGGAAATGTAAATATGGTACAGAAATAACACGCCCCATAAAACAAGTGGAAGACAAAGTAAAACTTATGAAAGCAGGACAAACATCCAAAGTGAATGATAGGAGAAAAAACACAGTTTAAAAAGGAAATGCAGATCAGATGGACAGAATGGAAATCCACACAGGAGAGGACAGAGAAAGCAGAAAGCAGAAAATCACTGGAGGAATGAATTAAGAATAAGTACCTCCATTTCAAAAGGGCTTATAGAGTATATAAGACTATGAATCAAAAAATAATAACAGGGTGGGGACATGCCTTCAATCACAGCACTTAGGATGCAGAAGCAGTCAGATCTCTCTGAGTTCAAGGCCAGCCTGGTCTACATAGTAAGTTCCAGGACAATGAGAGATACATAGAGAGACCTTGTCTCAACAACTCCTCCCACCAAAAACAAAAACAAAAAACGAAAACAAACAAAAATGGCTCAGCAAGATGGATCAGAAAAGAAGTAAAAGCACTTGCTGCCAAGCCTGATGGTCTGAGTTCAATCCCCAGGACCCACAAGATGGGAAGAGAGAACACACTCTTGAAATTTGTCCTTTGAAATCCACATGTGTATCATATTGTTACTCATGCCTCCACAACACAATAAATAAATAAATAAATAAATAAATAAATAAATAAATAAATAAATAAATAAATAAATAAATAAACATACAAACAAATAAATAAAATTTAAAAATGAAACAAAGTAACACACACAGCAGTCACACTAAGCTAACAAATGCCACTCAACTATAAACTTCAAATAGTTAAGGTTGTGAACTAGGCAGTAAATATTTTACCACAGCTAACGTTGTAACAAAAACCAACTAAAGTAGATCATCATCCAAACCAGAGGCAAGGACAGAACCCTGAAACCTCCTGGGGAGGAAAGAGGGCGCAGATCAAGAATCAGACACAGCTCAGATTCAAGCCATAGGGCAACAGTTGGGAAATCCCTTCACAGTTCTGAGGGAAAACAACTTCCAGCCAAGAACTTTTTCTCACGACAAGCTATCAAGGAAACCACCTGTCAGTGCAGAATGAGAATATAAGGAAGGCAGGGCTAGAGTGTCCCAGGAGGATATCCTGAGGTACTACAAGGCCACACAAAGCTGGTGACTGAGCTTGGCTTTGCTATTGCTGCCTCTACCCTTGAGTCCCCAGCCCCAAATACATTCCATCCCAGTAGACACTTAGGTCTCAAGTGTTGGGAGAACAGAGGTCCTTGCTCTCACAGATAAGGACTAGGGAAACCAGGAATGCTAACATGCAGGCCTGTCTTTTTCACAGAAGAGATTTATAACCCATTTTCTCCCAGAAGCCTGAGAATGGAGGTGGCTAATAGCCTAGGTGATCCTTGTGCTATCTGTATGACCAGGGGTTCTTCCAGGCTCCCACAAGTGGGACCAGAGACACTTAATAGTCTAGGCAACCTCTGCACTGTCTGTATGGCCAGGGACTCTCCCAAGCTCCCACAACCAGGACTGGTTG